GTATGGCCGGGAGCTACTAGTAGCTTCTTGCTGCTAGTAGCGATGCCGTGTGTTTTTGATTTTTTGTTCCGACTGAGGTGTCGTGGTGCCGTTGATTCCCATCTTGGATGACAAAACTTGGCAGATTGACAACAACGCTGTTGGAGTGAAGATGATGCAGCTTGGGCTAATAAGCACATCTTCTTCCTGGGAGCTCTACACCCCTTTAAACCGGTTATATATGACCTTTTCTGTTCAAGGCTGTCTCCAAGACTTCCGTGATGCATACACAAACATTCCTCTCTTGCCAGGTTTGACTGGACGCTGTTCTTCAATTGGTTTGAAGATGGCTCGGATGTGGTACCATGCATGAGTGGAGGCCACCCTTGGTGATGTCCGAGAGGGAACAAGCAGCCTCGAAAGTCCCTTCCAATGTTGCGCGAGGCCTCTTCGCGATCTCCAAGAAGTGGTGGCACGAGTCGGGTGAGTGTCTTTGATGAAGATTGGCACCCCAGCATCTTGTTTCTAGTAGCAAGAATGCTTCTAGCAGTATGGCCAGGAGCTACTATATAGTAGCTTCTTGCTCCTAGTAGCGATGCCTTTTGTTCCTAGTAGCTTCTTGTTCCCCTTTTCATGTATATGATGCTCAGAATGGTAGACCACAATCTCAACAGGGACGAAGTTTGTTGGGAGTTCTGTTAGCCTCCCCGACTGGGAAGGTACGACTATGGCATGAACATGTGGGGTGCAGAGAACATCGAGCAATCCATCCGGAGAAGACCTTAGCATTGCCAACGCCAAAAAAAGGATGCAAACAACTCTTTGGTCGACATGTGTGAAACATCAAAGATGCATCAACATGCGTGAAACAAGCAAATCCAAGGTATGTAGTATATGTGTTGCTTGCTGTTCTTTTTCTTTCTCCCTTATATTCGTTGCTTTTCATGACGGCGCTTTCTCATATGTCCCGCCTCTGAGGGTCTGGCTTTGTGGTGGTGAGATCTATGTTGCTCGAGACTCTCGTGTGGCGCATGTCTTCCGACGGCACTTCCCCTACTTCGTGAACAACACGGAGCCGGAAACGGCAGAAGCGAAAACGGCAGAAAACGGAAGAAACGGGATGTTGCTCGAGACGTACAAACACTATCAACACTTATATAACTGAGCTCATCACAGCTCATTTCCGGCAACATGTTTGTATGCCCATTTATTTTTCCCACCTTCCCCTCTAGCCACTGGAGATGAGAGCCAGCCAGCCCACCTTTCAGACAGAAAACCAGGATGGCAGCAAAACACCAGTGTCAGGAATGATGCGAAAAAACAAGTGAAAAAGCAAGGAAAAAACACACAGGTTACATTAATTTAGTTTGTTTTACTTGAGCGTGGCTGCCTTTTTTGTTTTAGTGCATGCCATCTGATAAAGGCTTTATCATTGTATAGTAGGTTCTTGATTTGGTGCTGATTGGCGTGGGCCTTCCTTTACCCCAGCTACATAAAACTGTTCTCTCCATTCCTCTCCTCTCCCCTTTAAATGCTGGATTGTTTTCCTTCGCATGTAGCAACAGGTGCCACGCTAGTAGTAACAGGTGCCTTACTAGTAGTAACAAGTGCATCGCTACTAGTAACAAGTGCCTTACTAGTAGGGCGGAAGATGGGATATGACCAAGAGGCAAACATGCCTCAACAAGAGCATGGCGTGTTCTCGCACGCCCCCAGCGTGTCTCACTTTCAAGCGAAACTGTTTCAATGTTCCCAGAAATAACACAAATTGCAGCGCTCATTTGATTTTAGCAGCGTGAGACTGAAGTTGATCTGGAAACGTTGCATGACATGGAGGAGATCTACATCAACAAAGTGCGAACGGTAGAGACATGGTTCGACGAGTACAAGCACTATTATTACGCCACTTGATCTCACATGTTGAGAATTCACCTGACTTTCTGTCACATCAATGACATTTGATTGTGGATGTTCGGGGTAACTCTGGGGCAGATTTCATCCCACCCCCCTGTGCAGTGATTTGAGTGTGATAGCTTTGTTCCAGCAAGGTTGTGGCACCAGTTGAATTGCTTGATTGTTTCTGGGCTAGGCCAAATGAACTTGGACTGGGCCGAATGAGACATGATTTGGTGTTAGCCAGTTCAGAATTACCGACCAACTGGCCCTGTTTCGTACTGCTCATGCTGCACCAATCGAGATCATCACATATACCTCCTAAACTCGACGAAATGAGACCGATGAATGATCATACTGTACACTTATTGCATGGCGCACGGGCGCTCTTTTGTGTCTTGTATCATCTAAGATGTCCGCTCACCTTGGATCTTGCAAACAAGATGCCACATATTTGATTAGAGCCTCCCCATCCCACATTTGGGTTTTCAATTTCTCCATCAATGTGTCCTTTTTGTGCTATATTGCGCTTTGACACACCGGCAGTCAGGCATTTCCTTTATCGGATGGCTTTATCCTCCATTTCTATCCACTTTGTGATGTGCTCTATGTTTCATTATGTTTCGGTATCATTATGTTACTTCTTCTTTCTATTTTTTCCGCTTGCTATCCAAACTCAGGCAGCTGACCCCAGCGCAGAGCGATTTGTCCCGGTGATGGGTGCCTCATGGCTGGGTTGGGTGTCGGTCAGATCGATCGGCGGGCTCCTTTTCTGTTGCGGGCGTTAAGGTCACCTGCGATTGACCAAATTGCAGACATTCTCGGAAGCTTAAGTCGTCCAGAGAAGTCCTTCCTAATTCCTATCTTCCCAATCTTGTGCATCCTGGGAGGACATGAATCGGACTTCATGGTCATGTTCTGATCGGTCTTCTCCAAGTTTGTGCACGGCAGGTGACATCTCCGAGAGATTGTCACTCAAAGAGAAGCTCCACTGCAAGCCCTTCAGCTGGTGCGCTTTTTGAAAAACAGCAGCACAAACAAGAATGACGAGAGCTGTCGTAGCTGGAGAAGGTTCGGGTTTCCCTCGGCGGCACATGAACTTTGACACAAAAGAATCCCCTTTGTCTCATCCAACGTGAAGCCACTTGAAACGGGTTGGTCATCAGTGGTCGTTGATTCCGAAGTTCTGCCGACCGGAGCAGCCTGGTGAACCTGCTAGGTTTGTACTTCTTTGGGGTAGGGCCTACAGGGCAAAGGTCTATCAGTTGTTAACGAAGCAGCACCACCACTGCTTAAGAGGCCACAGGACGGCGTGGGGTTTCCATCCGAAGTCGACTTTGGGAAGCTGGGATCCTTCACAGGTACGTCTCCAAGTTCAAGGAGGGCACCAAGCAGCCAAAGAGAGAGTACGACTCGAGCAACGGGCTGCTTGAAACGACTGGTGAATCATTGAAGTATTTCACCATGAAGTCAAAGAAACAATGCTTCGGCGGGATCATATAGCGGGTTTTGCGCAGCATTGCGGCGTGTGAGAGGACGTGTTTGAGATGAAGAGCATGCTTCCCAAGGACGAGAGTTAGACTTGAAATGGTGATTCATTCACTGCCAGAGGTAAGTTGCCGACCTTGTTTGACAGCGTTCATCATGAACCAGTTTGTGGTGACGCAAAGTTGATGATCAAACATGTTCAAGTTGGGGTATCCGGAGTAAGGCGGTTCAAACATGTTTCAATCTGTTCAACAAATGTATAAATCCACCCTGCAGAAGCACTTGCTGGAAAACTCGCTGCAGGAGATGTTCTTGATTCGAGACAAGGCCTGCAGTCACTGAGAAAACACCAAAGAGTCTGAGTCAAGCAAATCGCCCTTTCCATTATGTCATTATGTGGGCTTTGTGTAGAAAAGTGCCGATATTTTTGTTGGGGGGGCATTCAGCTGAAGAACGTGCAGGTTTGCTTTTCAATGCAGCATTCAGTAGACAAGCTGACTTGTGTAGACCAATATGTTTCAGACACGATTCAAGGCCATTGCTATTAGGTTGGAGGCCATCGCTATTCGGTTCCTTTTGCTACTAGGTTGGAGGCCATTGCTAGTAGGTTCGTCGGACGGAGTTTTTGAGGCCGATGACCTTTGCCTCACGAACGACCGCAGCTCTTCCCGTCTCATCGAAGTGCCATGTAATCTCAAGGACCACCAGTTACCACGGCGTACCACCGCCGCTTGTGATATTTGCAGAGTCAATTCGTGTAATCAAACATCTCACCTTGCCGTCCCAGATGTCATTCTCCTGAGAGATTTTTTGGCTCAAGCCGCAACACTTCTCCTTGAGCCATGCCCTTCACCACCTGTTTGGCTCTGTCCTTTCTTTGCCTCCTTGGGCCGGCGTTGACACTTGGAGAAGAGTGCGAGAAGAGGGATGACGATACCCTGGCAATGATTCAAAGGCACAAGGATCACAGTGCTCGTGACATTGGACGTCTTAAAAGTTGCCCTTGCTCCGGGGGTCCCTGCTTTGACTCGGCACCGTGGCATCAGTTGCCTGGGGTGCGAAGCATGAACCAAGTCCAGGACCACCGATTGAGATCTCCGGCTGCTCAACATGACCCCTTGTGGATCTCCGACCAACCTGACTTGGGCTTCCATGGTGGGATGATGGGAAGTGCCAAAGTCCCAGGTTGGACAGCTTTAAACTCGACTCCTCACATGTACATGGAGCTTCATGAAGGGGACAACTGGCAAATTGCCCAGGCCATGAACTTTGCCACTCAACACAATTTGAAGCTGTTGATCAAAAATACAGGCCACGATTGGTTTGGCCGCTCGATGTCGAGGGGCTTCATGCTATGGACTCACAACATTCAAGGCTCTCAATGGCATGATGCTTTCCGGCCGGCGAACTGTGGCCACAGCGAGCCAGCGGTGAGCTTTGCCGCCGGGGTGCAGTTTTGGCAGGTAGAGGAAAACATTGCGTGAACATGAAGCTCTAGATCTACTAATGGTCAGAATGGCAGCCCAAAATCATAACTACCTCTCTCTCTCTCTATAAGTTGTCCCTAAAGATCTAGGAACCAGATCATTAGTGCGGCACTTCTTCAAGGGAGCTCCCCCAGACGCCCTAAGAGCTTGCTTGAAGAAGCGTGAGCTATCCTGCATCCATACTGGAGCAAACTTCTCTTTTATTTACTTAATTTAATGCTAGTGCAAACTTTTGCCTCAAATGTTCCTTTCCAGATTTTGGACCGTATGCGACGTTTACCTTGCAGGTCTTTCAAGAGATGAAAGAGCACAAACGGCTGGTTGTGACTGGGACCTGTGCAACGGTCGGCCATGTGGGCTTTACTTTGGGTGGTGGTTACGGGGACTATAGCCACTTCTATGGCTCAGGAGCGTCCAACCTACTTGAGGCGGAGGTGATTTTGCCCTCAGGCCAGCAAGTCACTGCCAGTGAATGCAATGAATACTCTGATCTCTTCAAAGCCTTGCGTGGTGGGGGCCCAGGCTTTGGGCTAGTCACCAAGTTTACCTACCGGACCTATCCTGAGCCGGCAGTCTCTGGGATGATTATGGGTACCGTTTCAGGTGATATGGTGCACAACTTGGCGGAGTTCTTTGCCTGGTACAAGGCCCTGAATGAGCAGAAGAAGGTGAAACATATTGGAGGCATTTTGCAGCTGCAACCTGGGCATGTGATCTTCGTAAACTTGCGCTTCGTCAACCTGCCGGCCGAGGACTGTCAAGCACTTCTTCAGCAATCTTCCTTTTTCAATGGATTGACCTGTCAACAGGCAGCAGTCTTCAATGACTTCAGCGACTACAAGTCCAGTGAGAATGGTTCTAAGGGCTTGCAACCCGATTGGCTCAAGAGCATGGCATCTTCCCACGTGGGCTCACACGTTATGTCGAACCTCGGCACCTGGAAACACCAGAGATTCGTCAGCGCTTGAGTGCCGCCATTGTCAAGGCGGCGGATCTGGCCAATGGCGTCACCGAGAACCAGGGGGGGCGATGCTGTGCTTTTCTCGTTGAACTACGCCCTGGGCGGAACGGAAAACGCTCTCCGCGACTTTGAGAAAACCTCGGTGAACCCTCAGGTGCGTCAGGCACGACCGGGTTTGGGGGTGCGTCCGGATGCGGACCCAATCAATGCAGGATGAACTGTTTGGTGTGTGTGCTGTGGGACAACGCTGCCACTGGGATGGAGTCGTTTCCACCCAAATAGCTACTAAGCTAAAGTAACTACTAGCGATGGCCTGCAACCTACTAGAGATGGCCTCCAACCCACTAACTAGCTATGATACTATGGTCCACCCTACTCGCGATGGCCTCCAATCTCCTAGCGATGGCCTCCAACCTACTAGCGATGACTGCCAACCTACTAGCGATGGTCTCCAATGGCCTCTAACCGTCCAACCTAAGAGCGATGGCCTTCAACCAATGGACTTCAACCTACTAGCGATGGCCTCCAACCGACTAGCGATGGTCTCCAATGGCCTCTAACCGTCCAATCTAAGAGCGATGGCCTTCAACCTACTAGCGATGGCCTGCAACCTACGAGCGATGGCCTCCATCCTTGATCAGCCACTAAAGAACTTGCATTGCACGCGCTCATGACCATGTGGCGGGGAGGATCATGTCTCAAGAGGCACTTCAGGGTGCCATTCTTTGTGCGTCAATGTTCACCATGTCAACACGGGCAGCTGCGTGACCTGCACCGACAGCGGCAATGATGGTTCTGATCATATTGGTTGCCATTTTGTAAGCTGCTTTACTTTAGGCCTCACCAGCGGAACCAACAACTTTTTCAACGGCTCCCGAATAGTTAAGGGTGCAAACAAGCTCCCTCACAACTTGTTGCACTGCAAAAAACTGTTCTCACACACCATGCCCACGTGGCCCTGGCCCAGGCGCTTGCAACAGTGAAGTTTGATTGGATGATTGGCCGTGACTCCCCACATGTGGTGTCACATGGCACGCAGGTGGACACCACCACGCTGAAAGCCTTTGAGGCAGCCAAGCATGATGTCGATGAGGTCTTAGGTGGAGTGGGAGGATATCTCAACGAGGGTGACATCTCAGAAGAGAATTGGCAGGAACACTACTGGGGATCCAACTACCCATTCTTGCTGGAGGTGAAGAAGAAGTACGATCCCAACAATCTTCTCACTTGTTTCCAGTGCGTCGGGGCTGAGACTATCCAGTGTTAAACCTCAGCTGGTTAGGCGGCGAATATTCCCCCGCTTCTAATATGTGGAGGTCAGACATTTTTGTGTCTGGTAGAGCGTGGCCCAACAGTGGTCCAACGGCTTGACATAAGTGCAAGCAACGAACTAGCGGATACGAATTCCGGACTCAGAAAATTATGGACATTGAATGACATTATGACATTGAGATAATTCACTACCGTTCTGTCAGTTTGGATTCTCCGCTGATCGAAACATGCCCAGACGGATTGGGTGGGCTGAGTTGCAATGGTGTCATTTGATGGCTGTTGAGGACCGGAAGCTTCGCTGGTCCTTTGTAAACAAAGGCAGAAGCCTTGAGCACGTCGACAGCTTTATGTTGGGAGCCCGTTTTTGAATAGTCGGATTGTTGATGTCAACGTCAACGCGCTATACAAATCTATATAGCCTTTACACACGTTTTGATGTCCTGGCTTTTCCAACAGATGCAGATGTAGTTATCAAGATGTTTTTGGTTTAACTAAAGCCCTCTTTTAAATTACCCCATGCTATAAAACTAGTTGTTTAGGACGCTACTATATAGGGGCTCCTGGCCTTAGTACTAGGAGCAAGAAGCTACTAGGGGCTCCTGGCCGTACTGCCAGGAACAATGTTCACTACCAGGAGCAAAGGTATCATGCTTTTGGCCGAGGAGTTTCCCTACGCCGTTCAGCGTACGGCCTAGGGGAGAAGGGCCCAAAGTGTATTTCAACCCCGCTCCACGCTCCGCAGCCCTTCACTCCCACTCCGCGCTCTTCCACTCTAAACTGTGGTGAACATGCCATGGCTCAAGTGCATGGCTAATCTGGACAGGTGGCGTGCCTCAAACATCTGCTCTCTTAAGAAGCACAAACATTAAAGGATAACAACAAGAGGAACATCGCTCCCGCAAAGTGTCGCACACGTTCTCAGACATCGATGTTGCCTTGGTGTCAACTTCAAAAACGTGGCAGCGTAGCGCCTACTATGCCTGGCATCTTCGAACAATTTCTGGTGTCGATGTGTTTTGAAGTTGGTTAGCCACTCAGGTGCCTGGATGCAAATGCGAGCGAGCAGCATAGGGCCGGAGCCAAGGTCATGTTGCTTGGCGCACATTTGTGATTTGTTCTCGCCGTGCTCAAGGTTAGAGGACCAAGGCGCATCACTAGAGTTGACCTACAGTCAAAGGCCTTTGGTCTAGGAACTTAATATATAATCTGATTTGTGAACCACCTATAGAACATGCTACCTCCAGCGTCGTACTAACATCGCTATAGACTATAGAGCCTTTATCATTATCCAAACAGCTTACGGTAGAAATAAGGCAGGGTTTGTGGCCAGGGTTCACGTTTGCCGCTTCGCTCATGCTTATTGGCTCATGTGATCATGTTGAAACCTCCGCCCTTGGATTGTTTGGTGTAAAAACTTTTGCGTTACGCTCCAATGTCTTCCCTTTTGCCAGGGTAGTTCTTGCTTCCGAGGCTCTACCCATGCATGGAGAGTTCCCCAATGCAGGCCATGACGGCTATGCTATGAAGGTTGAGTTGCGTTTCTCGGTCTTTGGCTTGCCCTGAGGAATGGACATTCACAAATGGTCATCTGCGGTTCGCGGATTTTTGTCTTCACCTTAGCCAAAAACTACTGTTCTTGGGTGAGGCGTAAGACACGAAACTAGGGTATGCATTATACCTTTCAAGCTCGACAAGCATCCCTGAAGCGAGGTGTGAATGGCTCTGATTTGACCTTTGCCCGTTGCGCCAACTTCCTTCAACCCAGGGGTATCTTTGAAACCTATGACTTGAAGGCCTTGACAGAACAACGTCCTTGGAAATGGCTTTTGCAATGCTTTGTGTATTTTGAGCTGCTGTTTTGTAGGTTGAGAACTGGGATTGGTTTTGTAAAGCCGACGACAATCGAATTGCTTTGTTTTCCAAGGGTTCCATCATATTGATTGGACTCAGACCTAAGAGTCTTCTATTTTGTATATTGTGAAGTGTACGCTGTACACTTAGGTTCTTGTCAATGAACCTGTTTCATGTCACCCGCAACTCACCTCTCAAGCATGGGAGGGTTCATGCGCGCTGAAAAGGCGCGGCCGTGAGGATTACTGATCCTCGTGCTTTCTTTTTCGACACGGACTTCGTTCGCCGTGCACGACAAGTTCACATTGGTAGCGGAGCCCCATTCCGGGGCTCCCGCGAACTTTGTGTCTACTTGAACGAGGCCCTGCTTAAGACCTTTGTCACCTTCACTCTGCCGAGCTCTTCTGGCGCCTCGTGGAAGAGACCTTTCGGCTTAGGCTCCACCTCCTGCTGAAGACCTACGGAAGTGACAATGGCAGCAGCGTCCGCCGGGACTAAAGAAGTAGAGACACAGAACCTGCGCGACTCCTACGTCCCCTTGTTCTCGAACCAGCCCTCAGAGTACAAAGAGTACAGGAAACGCCTCAACCTCTATCACAAGAAGATGGTCATCAGCAAACGAGCTGGTGAGTCTGTGCTGAACATCCTCGGAAGCTTCAGCGGCGTGACCTGGAAACTCTTCGAGGATTATCCCGTTGAGGATGTGGAGAAGAGTGACGCCTTCAGCAAAATACTCGAAAAGCTGGACAAGAACTTTGAATATGACGACCGCGTCCTTCTCCCCAACGACTTTGAGGAGTTTTTCAACCTCATTCAGAGGAAGCCTCAGCAGAGTCTCCTGACCTACGTCACGGAGTTTGACACCTCCTATCGGAAGCTGATGGCACACAATGTTTCACTACCCGGCCAAGTCCAAGGATGGCATCTTCTCCGGCGTGCCGCCCTGACCAAGGAGCAACGCCAAATGGTGACTTTGAAAGCTCCAACGCTGGAAAAGCAGGCCGTCATCGATGCACTCTACCTCCTCTTCGGTCAAGACTATAAAGCGGGTGGTTGGAACAACGACAGAGATCGAAAGTTCGCCCGCTGGAAAGGTAGAGGCTATGCAGCCTATGAGGATGATGACTATGCCTGGCCATCCGACACTGCCTGGCCCGATGAGAGTGTCTACTATGAGGCCGATGAATGGGGACCTGACGACTACAACCCTGACGAGGACGAATCCTTTGACTATGACGCCATCTACTATGGTGAGGAAGAGCCAACAGAAGACCATGGCGAATCGACTGAGGATCCCTATGAGCTTGCCGAACAGTACGATCATGCCTATGCGACCTACCTTGATGCAAGGCAACGATTCCAGCAGCTCAAACTGGCTCGCGGATACCTTCCAGTGGTCGCCCTCACCGATGGTCAATCCTCTCCTATGGCGTCCAGCCCCTCGAACAAAGGCAAGGATCGCAGTCCCTCAAAAGGGAAGTCCAAGAGCAAGAACAAGGGCAAGGGCAAGAATGTCATCCGCTATCCACCCAACACTGGTGGCAAGGCAGCTGATCCTCGTGGCCGAGCACAAGCAACGACCTGCCTCAGATGTGGCCAACCTGGTCACTGGGCTGCACAATGCCCGCAGTCGGCTCGATCAAGTTCGACGGCTACCAAACGTCCTGCTCCTGGTCCAACAGAAGGAATGGCCGTCCAGACCGAGCATGCCCTCGTGCTCTTCCAGGACGAGTTCGGTGATGAACGTCCTGATGCCACGATGCTGGATCCTGGTGCCTCAGCCTTTCTCAGCGGATACGGTCCTTTCAAGCGATATGTTGACCACCTCAACTCCATGAACTACCCGGTCAACACGATCCGGTTCGCTCGATGCGAACGACAGTTCCACTTTGGCGGAGACGCTTCATCTCAAGCTCGCTGGACCGTGGATCTTCCGGTGATGTTGGATGGCAACTATGGCACGATCCAATGCTACCTGGTGCCCGGAAACACTCCAATGTTGATGGGACGACCTGTCATTGAGGCGCTCCACATGGGCATTGACTTCAGCCAGAAGCAAATCCGATTCGGCCGCTCTCCTTGGCAACCGGTCTTGGTTGGCAAGCATGGTGAATACCTACTCAGCCTTACAGCTGGAATGGAGCATGTGCCGGATCCTACGAAGAGCTTGTTCACCCTGCACATCGCAGAAGAAGTTCCTGGCAGCCACCTGCATCTGGAAGACTTTAACAACCTGGAACAAATCTTCGCTGCCGATGAGCAAGTGCCTTCGGACAACAACTTCACCTCAGCCCGACTTCATCGACATGCCCTTCGCACCATGGAGGTACAGCTGACCACCATGATGAACTCCACTGAAGCCTACATCACCAATGAGCTTCACCAGCCTCCTGAACACAGAAGGGTGTTGTGGGAAGTGTACTGTGGCAAGGCCCGCACGGGCCAGGTCGCTGAAGAACTTGGCATGAAGGTCGAGCGCTTCTCCTTGGAAACTGGTTGGGACTTCAACCTCAAGAGCCACCAGCAACAGTTCCTACAGCGATTGGACGAGGAGGAGCCTGATGAAGTCCTTCTCGCACCTGAATGCAAAGTGTGGTCCCGCATGCAAACTTTGGCATGCAGAACGACGGCTCAACAAGAAGCCCTGGTCGCTCGAAGAGAACATCATCATCGTCGACACCTCTGCTTTGCCAAGCGCATCTTCCTCCGTCAGGCAGCAAATGGTCGACACGCTCACCTGGAGCAACCACGGCATGCTCTCAGCTGGAACACTCAAGCCTTGAAGGCTCTACCTGGCTACAACGCCGACTTCGACCAATGCCGCTATGGTGCTATGTGCTTGGACACTGATGGCCGATGG